AAGCTGAACTGATGCGGTAAGAAATTTGTGCTCACCGGGAACGGAGCACACAAGTGTGTCTCATCCAGTAAAGTCAAAAACATGCAGCCGATTCATCTAAAAGACATGTTCCAAGAGAAAAGACCCGCACGAAACACGGCTCATGTACAGTGAAACTAGACGTTCACAGTAATGAATTTATAGGTTTGCAAAAATCCAAGATATTCTGAGGGGCAGGTTTGCTTAGGCAGTACAGAAAAGAAGGCAATGTTAAATGGAGGCAGTACTCATCACACGCCAAGTGCGCGAAATGCAGGCGCAAAATAGCATACTGCTAAATGCACTGTCGAAAACTCCGAACATGGAGAATGAATGGGAAGAAATGAACTTTGAATTTCTCTTCCCGAATTTCCGATGCCTGTCGCCCCTTCCTCTGTTATGTCCATAATTCTGTCAGAACATGGGAAATTTTATATGACAGTGCATTTTGCAGGTTGCCTTCTAATTTCAATGATACAATCTGGAATATTTAAAAAGTTGAAAAATTTCTATAGCCAGCTGGATGTCCTTCAAAAAGACAGGTCGTGCTTATTTACTGGAGGTGTGCAATTCAAGATCAATAGGCCTGGCAAAGCTACTACCAATGTGTTGGTTGCACCCCAGTAAAACCACTAACGTAAGATATCGACACCAGTTGCCTAAGGCGGTCTTGGTGCTACCAAAACAACAATGACATTTCATACACAAAGTGAAAATGGTTCAGTGAGACTGTGTTAAATAGACTAGTTTCAACTCAGTTTTGTTCCAGTCTTAAAATGTGTTGACGAGAAACTATATTACAGATTAGAACTGACCATATATGTGTCTGGCTTGCAGCCGGACGCAATGGCTGTTTGATACAAAATCAACTAAATAAAGCGTTTTAGAGTCGACATTATCCTCCTGGAGATAGATTGACCACCAAAAATATCAAGACCACCTGACAGTCTGTGTAAGGTTGTAGTGTTAGTTATTGGAATGCTGCCTTCACACCGATGTTACTCAGTTTAATAACCCAAATGCGAGACGAAACGAACGCGAGAATTGTAACCAGGCTGACCACCAAGTAATGAGGCATTGGTCAAAGCAGATGGAAGGTCTGTCAACTGCTGCATTGCTAGAGAAAACAAATGTTTTCGTGTTTCGTCACGAAACAGTACTCAGCTAAATCACCCTGGTGTAGCAAACGAGCTTACAAAGCGTTCACAAAAACGAGTAGTAGCAACGTGATGCTCGCGAGCAGTGACGTGCTTCTGCTCGGAACCGAAGAAGATGATGGCGGTTGATACGGTGGATAAGGCGGCGGCGGTGGTGGCGGTGGCGCTGTCGTCGGCTTTGCGCCTGGTACACAGCAGCAGATACCATTGCCATCCGGACACGTCTGCAATGTAACAACTTCCGTGAACACAAATGCAGCACACTGCGTGTCTGCTACCGTAGGGCCACGAGAACGACGGTGAGCGGAATGACCAGTGGGCAGCATTACATTTAAAGCACCAAGGAAGGTGGGATGAGGCAATTCAAAGCACATGCATGTGGTCG